ATAATAAAGAAAGAAAGAAATACTGTGGTTAGACATTTCTCTACCATACCATCCTACCCCCTTATTAAAAAATCCTAAAAGAAAATGTTTTTGTATCTAAGTATCAAAATAAACTTAATTTCTTCAGAGGCGTGTGACTTTTCCTTGTGGAAAATGAAAATTTTGCAATTAAGCACATTTCCCTCTTTGTTTTCACTACTGGAAAAGCCAGAATAAAACGTTGAGGTTATCTTTAGTAACTATGTAGAACCTTACAGTGTATGTGCCTACATATTAACTCTTCTCACAGAAACAGACTCTAACCTCTGTGTATTTTCCCCAGTTTTAATTTATATTTACACTTTAAAGTATTTGTATTATTTTCATGTGAATTCTCATAAACAGCCTCAAATTCACAGCAGTGTAAATATGTAAGTAATCTATAGAGAGCATTGTATTATGCGAAATGAGTAGTTCTTTTCCTTTTATACACAGGACATATTTGTATAATACTGATATCAATGGAGAAAGATAAAGGATATTTGCATTTTTCCCATGAAAACAGAATTATATGGATAACTAACTCTCAAAATTAAATATAAAATCCTCAGTGTAAGTTCCTTGAAAGTATACAGGTATTATTAGTTAAGGTGGCTACTAATTTTATATTATTTTTAAGCTAAAGGGTTCTTTTTAACCCCTTAAAAAATCCTAAAACCCAATATTTCATTCACGAGGAAGAGCTAAACCATTCACTCAAGAAACAAATCCATAAATATGCTATGTCAGTGAGCTTCATACTGTCTGAAAACAGCTCTTGTTCATTTAGAACAATAACCAGCAGACTGCAACTTCTAAATTTGGCCCTTGAAATTAATTCTTGGACTCTGGAACCCCACACCCACCCAGATGGCTAGGGGCATTGTCATCTATGCTGGTAGGTGACAGAGACGGGCAGTGCTTTGTGGCAGGTGAGGAGCCCTGACAGGGCAGCCTTCCCAGCCGCCAGAGTCGGCGTGTCGGCCAGGAGGGCAGCGTGGCAGCAGCAGCCTAAGGAAATGCTTCCAGGCCCCTCCGCCTATGACATGTACAGGACGGGGAGGAAGTGTCTTGAGCTTCCCTGAGCCCAAGGATAATGCCACCTTTGATCTGTAGAAATGGAAAAAAAAAAAAAAAACCACACGGAGCTTTTCTTTTGCAAGTGGGTTTTAAATATTGCTCCATTAATAGTTAATGCACATAAAGACCAGTAGAGTGACAGCTCCCCGTGATTATGAATTCTGTCTTCGTAACTCTAGTACAAATAGGAGCTGAACTTTCAAAATCACGGTGGTTACTTTTGACAAATTAAATTGTCCTACTTAAAAAGGTAGGAGGAATGAAGAGAAGGAAAGCGAGGGAGCGGGAGCAGATTCTCCTTGGAGATGATTTTCATATCAAGGAAGGAAAAAAAAGGAGAAAAAACTACACTTGTGTTTCCCAGGCTGACGATACTGTCGATGTTTATTAAAAATAGGTCCAGAAGGTCCCACTTCAGAGGTTGGACAAGATAGAAAAGGGGAAGGAAAGATACTGGGAGTATGGCTCACTGTCTCTGAAAAGGAAAGTATATTTAAGAGAGTGACTAGTTTTTAATAAGAACCAGGTTGCTCTTAGGACCCTGCAATTTAAAATTAATTAGAAAGAAAATGGTCCTAAATTTCTCACAATCTGAAACTAACAAAAATGGTTTAAACAAAAAATCCACTTTAGAGCCCATTGTGATATTAAGGTTCTAAATTATGTCAGGTTGTATGAATGTGATCTTTGCTGGTTAAATCTAATTCCTTTCCTGCATGAATTCCTTGGATAGTTTGCTTGGTTGGGGTAACCAAGATATCATAGCAGGTGCCCCACTCCGGAGGTCTGCTGAATGAATAGTCAGGGTACTTATTTGCAGTTCCATGTCTAGGAGTTAAGGTCAGATGGTTTTCCAGCAGAGACCAGAATATAAAACAAGTAGGTCAAGCCAGAAAGTTAGTACCTAAAGTTAAGAAGGTAGTGCCTAAAAATCTTCACTTTCACTGAGCACCATCTTATGATATTTTCTCAAACCCAACATTTCTAAATGTGGACTTTGAGGATCAACCTGGATGGTACAATGCATAAATGGTGTTTGGGCATGACTATCTTTGCCAGGTAAGGAGTTGGGTGATGAAATATGAAAGCCCCTTAGAGAGAGGAAAACAAAGGTTTCAAATTCTATGATAAAAGGAATAATGATTCTGCCTAATCTTAGTTCCTGAGATTCTACCAACACTCAGCTGAAAGTCTCCCTTAAAAGTTTCACCCTCATTCTTTGCCATAATATAATATCAGGAGTCATAAACTTCATTCCCATCCTTAATTTATTAACTCAATACCGTTAGCTCAATAACTGTATAAGGTGCTTTACTTAACAACATAGAAAATACAAGTGCAAGATCTTGTTCTTGGTGTTATAGCATTGTTTTAAGAAATGAAGATGATGTAGATAGGTTTGAGATGGATTGGAAATGCTGTGAAATGGGTTGGGTGGCCTGTTGAGTTGCCACAATGATGGGGAAAATAAAGAGTAAATGTCCAGTTGCAAAAGAGAAATCCCACAAACTAACAAAAACTTGTTTTGTCCCAAATGCCAATGGTTCCCTTGATGAGAAATAATAATAAAAGACTGGCATCTTTCAGGGCCAACAAATCCAAAGATTAAAATGACTAAGGTAGTCTCAACAGTACTGAAAGCCTCGAAAGCCCTGGGGACCAATTGAAAGCTTTGCGCTTTCAGGAGTCTCTCTGAGCAACAGGCTCCATCCCCCTCCCCTGAGGCTTCAGTTCAGTTGATTCCTGAAAAAGCAGATAGAACAGAGGGATGGGACATTGAAATGGGAATTCTTGGCAAAGACCTGAAATTAATTGTCCTTCATCAGTTTTTCTAATGCAGAAGCCACCCCAAGTTCTAAATTAGTCCTTAGTCAATATCCTCAGGATTGCTTTGCAAGTTTCCAAACCTTTGGAATCTATAAAGAGAAACTCCACAAACCTGTATCATTTGCCCTTGGTTTCCAATTCAACCTTTAATATTGCTTATAAGCCAAATGCAAAATTAGTGCTAGCCTCATAAACTTAGATATGTTGAACACCTAAAATGCAAAAAAAAAAAATTATGACAAGACATGAGTCACAAATAAAGAACCCCAGTAGGAAAACGTTTGGAAAAATACTACAACCCAGAAGTACTGAGTGGGTGGAACAATGGCCTTCAATATGCCAAAATGAGAATTCTCAGGCAGAACACTTAGAAGGAAACCACAAGAAAAAGAAGACTGCACTTTTTGTTCAGTGATTTCCTATTAATTGTGATGTAAATTATATGGATGTGATTTTGACAAAGAGTAGCACTGTTTCTGAAATAAATAGTGGTTTATGTGCAAAATACGAAATGCATCAGGAAGAAAAAAAATGTTATTTGGCAGCATGAGTGTAATAAAATATGAGATAACAGCTTACGATTAGGTAACTTTTATATTATCTTTTCCTGTTTGACTCGATTTTTAATCTTAAGCCTTAGGAATAAAACAAATATTTTTGCATCACAAATTAACATAGGTTTATAGGCATTTTTCATATGTAATTCTTGATCTTGACATAAAATATAAAATCATCTAGCTTTGGCTTACTAGGTCAAGATTGTTATTTTAATAATATGTTATGCCAGAAGATATATTGGGTAGTTTTGTTGTTAATGTGGACAGCTATCCATACAGGAAATAGCTGATAGTCTACAAACTCTATTAATGTTGGACAGAATTCTTCAGGGAGTAAAATATCATCATTTGCTGAGTCCCTGAGAAGCTATATCTTCTCTTAACCAAGATGATTCCAGGGGACGTTAATTAAAGTGGGCCAGACCCTCAAAAAATACAAATAAATATTTATCTTTAGAAGAGGGAAAAGTTAAAATAATATATTAAATAAAGGTAATTTCAAATGATAAAGATTGAAGAAGAAAGAAGACAACTTTTATTTGACCTTGAATGTACTTCTTATTCTATAAGAAATTTTAAAAAGCTAGAGGGTAGTTGTTTCTTGTCATTATACTGTTGCTGATTCTGTGGTTAGTTATTAATTTTATTTTTTATGATTCACAATCTGCTCTTTGAAATATGCCATATGCTCAAAGCAATTCAAGGATGACAACTGTCAGAATTACTCCAATAAAAATTGCCTAAATGAGGAAGATTTACTACAGTCTGATATTTCCGTGGAAAGTCCCTCTACCCTCCCCAACTGCTTTTCAGACGCCGTGAATCTTGCAACCATTTCTTCAGTCAAAATCACAGGGTTGTTTTGTAAGAACGTCTAAGACCATTTAAGTGGAATTGGTAAAACACACTAGGCTAAGGGTGAATTAGCAGACATGGAAAACAATATAGATAGTTATTAGATGGATTGCCGCAATCAATATGTGAGTTCCAAGCCAGTTTTCTTAAATCACACGCAAATGTATTGACTTAATATGACAACGTCTGCTCTATGTATCACTAACAAACATTAAATTGGACATGCCCTGCACCCTGAAAGCAGCAAGTCAAACTAAAGGCACATTTTTTCCCCTCTGGGAAGATCTGAGGGGTGGATAGAATCTACCTGAGTGCTCCAATCAAAACACATTTTGTTAAATGTGAGCAGTCCATTTACCCTTCATTTTGTTTCAGTCTATTTATTAATGCAGTTTCATTTATTGTTATTCATCCTGAAGATAAATCTTTGTCCTTCTATAGAATTACACCAAATAGAATGTGATAAAGGGAACTTTCCTGCAATTATGATGTCGGTGCAGCCTGTCAGCACACAAGGGATGGAAATGAGTTTGGGGACAGGGAAGAGAATTCTAATAGACACCATGATACATACAATGAACGCAAAGATATCCTGAGAGAGAGAGACTTGTCAGGCTAATCAGATCTTCCCCAGCAAGGTAAAAGCAAGAAGAGAGCGCTAACCTTGTAAAGGTGCTGCTGCTGCTCCTCTGACATCATCAGGTCGTGGCTGTCCATCACGAGGGACTCCATGTCAATCAGCCAATCCCAGAGCTCCTGATATTCTGAATCAAAGTCCAGAAGCCTGAAGATAAGACACAACATGTATTATGCATAAATACAGAGTAGTTGTTAAAATCTTGTATTAGAATAATATATTCTTGAAAATCCATGATGTTCCTGGGTGATACCTATAAAAAGAGCAGGAAAGAACTCTCTCTGTGGTTACACAGTGGGTAAAAGAGGAACTCAAGCTTGTGACATAGCCACTTCTTAGATTTTGAAACATGTAATTTCGATGTTCATACCTGAGACATATTATCATGGCGATTTCCATTTGCTCACCCTTCCTGAAGATTTGCAGCACTTGAACGAAATGACTACTACCTTGAAAAAGAGCACCAGCATATTTAACAGGCTCAGGAATGGTGGGTCAGTGCCATTTGAAGGTTACATGGTCCAGAATTTTGGTTAAGAGCAGTACCCTCAAAATTCAAACCCCTTTCTCATCTACTAGATTTTCCATGGATACTACATCCCAATAGATTTATGATTAAGAACACCAATTTAATGAATTTCTCTATAATAATCATAATTCACTGTCATATCCAAAATATAATGTTCACTGGGAAGTGGCTCAATCATTTATCTGTCCCTCTGCTGTCTATCTGCCCATCTCTGCAAACATATATCCTACATTTAGTGTCATGGATGAGTAACCAGCATTTCAGCTTAACACTCAGAGTTAGGCTTGAGTGACTCTGGTAAGCCAGTGAGAACCAGGGGCAGATCCAGTATTAGACAGGTGTTCCCCACAGACATGTAGGAAACAAAGGTAAGGACAGGAAGTCAAAACAATGAATCTTTGAATAGGCAGCAATCATTAAAATTCAAAGGAGGATCACTATGGTTTTCAACAAAATAAATCATTAGAATAAGGAGCTTAAAAGGATTAATGTGATTCTCTATTGAAAGCCCGGTGAATAAGTAAAGCCCAGATTCTTCTAAAACACTGTGATCAGAAAATGAAAGTGCAGATGAAAAACTATCACTTTGTCTTTCCCCAAAAAAATCATCACCCTGAAAGAAATCCTAGAGTCTTGTCAAACTGTAACTGAACAAAACCTTATCTGGGCTTCTGGTCAAGATGGTGGTGTAGGTAAATGTGGTACTCACGTCCTCCCATAGCCACATCAAAATTAAAACTAAACTACAGGACAACCATCATTCAGAACTGCCTGAAATCCTCATGAACAGAAGTCCTACAACTAAGGATATAAAGAAGAAGCCACGTTGAAACTGGGATGAGGGGCAGAGGCGTGGAATAGACTGGTCCCACATCCACATGTGGTGGATAAAAATTGGGAAGGATATCTCAGCTGCAGAGGTCCCTGCTGAGGAGCCAGGGGTGTCAGCCTCACATCAGACCCTCCAGTTCAAGGTTCTCGTGCCAGGAAGAGAGGTCCTCATAACTTCTGGCTGTAAAAACCAGTGGCGATTATGGCTGGGTGAAACAGAGGCTGCTGGAATCCCAGGAGTTCCTCTTTAAGGGCCTGTGCACGGACTTACTCAAACTCATTTTTCTGAGATTCAGCTCTGGGGCAGCAGCTCTAAAAGCACCAGAGACATATGGGGAAGGATTGAATTGTTAGGCACCAGGACAAGAGATGAAGGGGCAGCTTTCTTCCAGACAGAAGTGCTGACAGAGGCCATTGTTCCTCTTCAGAGCTCTTCCTCCACAGAGCCAGTAGGCGGTGCCATATCTGAGTCCCCATCCACCTGGCTCACACTATTTTGCCCCACCCTGGTGATTCCTTGAGACTCCATCCCACCAACTTGTGGGCCCACCCAAACTGTTTCCAGTGGCTTTTCCATATTAATGGCCTGTCTTGGCTCATGCCTCAGACTTTCCTAAAATCTCTCAAACAAGCAGCATCAGGCCTCTATGTGCCCCATACCTCTCTCTAAGAGGCCCCTGTCCAGGAACTAGTGGCAGCTGGCCTTGCTTCACAGCTTGGCCTCTTCTGGGCATCTCCAATCCCAGCACAGTAGCAACCATCTGCAGATCATTTTGTAGCTCATGCCTGCTGGCCTGGGGTAGAACACAGGCAGCAGCTGACCTTTGCCTGTAACTCCCCTAGGCCCCAGAGCCAGCACACCCACTGAACAGCTTCAGACCTTGTTGAAGCACCATGCAACCACTTCCACAAATGACACACTCAAGGGCACCAGAGCCCCACTGAAGTAAATCCTGCTCCATGGGGTCAGCCTCTGCACCGCTGATCTTTCATGGAGGTTGCAGCCAGCCCTTGCTGCCATTTGGCCTGGGGATAAAGCCCTCCCATTGACATACCAACAGCAATAGAGGCTCAACAACAAAAGGAGGGTGTACAGAGCCCCCAAGAGGTTGTCCTTTGATTGTCCAGTTTTGGGGGTGGGGGGCTGTGCCATTGGGCCCTACAGGACACCTAATACATAAGGCCACTCTACCAAGCCTGGGAGACATAGCAGCTCCACCTAATATATAGGAACAAACCCAGGCAGGCCACCAAAATAAGAAGACAAAGAAACATGTCCCAAATGAAAGAAGAGAACAAAACTCTAGAAAAAGAACTAAACAAAAGAGAGACAAGCAGTCTACCAAATACAGAGTTTAAAACACTGGTTGTAAGGATGCTCAGTGAACTTAGGGGAAGGGTAGATGAATTTAGTGAGAACTTCAACAAAGAAATAGGAAACATAAAAATGGACTTAGGAAACATAAAAAAGAATCAGTCAGATATGAATAATGTATTACAGGGAATCAACAGTAGAGTACATAAAGCAGTGGATCAAATCAGAGATTTGGATGATAAGGAAGCAGAAAACACCTGATCAGAATAGCAAATAGAAAAAAAATAATTTTTTAAAAATGAGGAAAAATAAAAAACCTCTGGGACAACTTCAAGTGTACCAACATTCTCATCATGGGGATGTCTGAAGGAGAAGAGAGAGAAAAAGGAATTTAAAATGTATTTGAATAAATAATGACAGAAAACTTTCTTAACCTCTGAAAGAAGTAGACATACAAGTCCAGGAAGCACAGAGACTCCAAACAAGAGGAACCCAAAGAGGCCCATGCCCAAGACACATCATAATTAAAATGCCAAAGGTTAGAGACAAAGAGAATCTTAAAAGTAGCAAGATAAAAGCAGTTAGTTACCTATAAGGGAACTTCCATAAGACTGCCACCTGATTTCTCAATAGAAATTTTGCAGGCCAGAGGGATTGGCAAGAAATATTCAAAGTGATGAAAAACAAGAACCCTACAACCAAGATTACTTTACTCAGCAAACCTATTATTTAGAATTAAAGGATATATAAAGAGCTTCCCAGACCAAAAAAAAAAAGTGCTAAAGGGTTTTATTATCACCAAACCAGGTATTACATGAAATGTTAAAATGTCTTCTTTTTGAGGAAGAAAACAGATAAAAATATGAATGATAAGATGGCAATAAATATGTATCTATGAACAACTGAATCTAAAAAACAAAATAAATGAACAGAACAGAAATAGACTCATAGATACAGAAAAAAAATTTGATGGTTGCCACATGGGAGGAGGTATTTGGGGACTAGGTGAAAAAGGTGAAGGGATTAAGAAGTACAAATTGGCAGTTACAGAATAATTATGGGGATGTAAAATACAGCATAGGAAATATAATCAATACTATGTGTGGTGTCAGATGGGTATGAGAGTTATCCGGATGATCACTTAGTAAGTTATATAATGTCTCATCACTGGGTAGAACACCTGAAACAAATATGCTCTGATATGTCACCTGCAATTAAAAAATAGAAGAAAATAATAATAAAATAATTAATTGAAAAGAAAAAAACACACCTATCTTTACTAGTGAAGTAGCAGCTTCAGGTATGAATCTGCATTTATCTAGTGAGTATCTTATTACTACCTTGTTCCTGTCTCTATATATTAAACGACTCCTTTCCAAGAAAATAAACATCCACTTTTCATAACTTACAACTTAATCTTAAGAGGTTTGTCAAAAATTAAGGTGTGTTTGGTGATGTAGGAGTAGACTTAGAGTTTCCTATTTTATTTTAATTACTTTACCATAATTATATAGATCCTTGATTAGGACTGTAAATACCCAAGGGCAGGAATCATCTGTTATTAGCTAACACGCAGAACTGACTAATAAATGTTTACTTAATGCTGATGATGGGTACAGCTGATGTAGCCAAAATCTTCAGTAAGGCTAAGGTGGCCTAGAGCAGTGCTTCTCAAATAATGTGCATATGGCATAGCTGAAGAGCTTGTTGAAATGCTGGTACTGATACAGTAGTTCCAGGGTGGGGCCTGAGCGTCTGCATTTCTAACAAATGTTGACAACTGACAACACTGCTGGTCATAGACCTCACTTTGAATAGCAAGGACTTGCAGCATAAATGTGAAATCTGCAAATATACATTTCAAAATACCAAAAAAACCATCAGGCTTTCTTCCTTAGCTTTGTGAGTGACTAATAAAGAATGGCTAATAAGCATTTGTTCATATGACAGGTACAATAATTTAGAAATTCCTCCTGAACTATGGTCATCATTTCTTTCTCCTTGTACCCTCCCATATTTTAACCATAAAAATAAGGGAAAGATGGAATGTCACCTCCCCCCCCGCCCCAAATTGGGAGATTATGATTCAGGGGAATATTAAAAGGAAAGGGGAAAGGAAGGCTAAAGCTCAGCCCTTCCATCTTAGTGGGCTTTGGGAATAAGAAGGAAATAGAGGCCAGAGGAGTATGGGCTCAGATGTGTCTCCTCACATCCCTTGGACTAAGACCTACCGAACAGGCCTATGAGACAGGTTGAAGGGAAAGCCAAAAGTGCAAGGATGTCAGCACCATTTCCACTAGGAAGTCTGGGAAGAGATCACCTTAATCAGTGTCCTCACAATAGCCTGGGGTGGGAATGTTGCAGTCAGAGAGAGATCTTTGGTCAGGACTCCCTTTGCTACCAGGTTCTCTCATCCCTCTCTGCCCCACCCCCACCCCCCACCATGAGATTTCTGGGAGTTCAGCTGGTGAA